TGGAGAGGACCCTCCTACCACTGGGACAGGGTGGGACAGGGCAGGCAGGACAAATCTTGCCCAGGTTCTGAGGTGGCCAGAAGCCCATCAGATCAGGGCCTAGCCATGGCCAAAGAGAAGGGTGGACCCCTCCCGACGACTGTGCTCCCCTCATAATATTGACTTCCCAGAATAGTTGATAACGTTTGGGAAATTCACACTCTAAAAATATTTCCTTTTTTCATGTAGGCAAGATAACGCACAAGAGTGACAGGAGGTTACTAAGAATGCGGTTCTCTCATTATATAACCAGGGCAAAAATAAAGTGTTCTGGGCCAAAAATAGGGCTGAGAAAGGGAAATGTGAATAAATAGCATGACAAGTATTATTTACTCAAACAGTCAAATGGCTGAAGAACTTCAGAAGTTTCGATCTGTGTCCCTTCACTTATTACTCAGATCTCAGTGGCCCCCATCCTGACACGTTTAACGTAAGCACAAGGGTCTGCAGAGGAGACTGCGTAAGGACCGATAGGTAACAGGGTGCTTGTTACCTCTCCTTCCCCAGCAACAGCACAGGCGCAAGACTGGAGACTCCTGAGTGCTGTGACAGCTATTATTTCCTCCTGTAAGAGTATCCCGCTGTGTGGCATACACTGGATACACCCACAGATCCCATGCATGCCAGGGGCTACCCTCATGACAGTTGCTGGCCCCACAGGGTCACAGCTGGGCATCCAGAGCTTCCTGGCCCACACTGCCCACTTCTAGTCCATCACCAAGTCCTGTCGATGTCGCTTGTTCAATCCCTCCCCCCATTGTCACTATCGTAGGTCAAGGCCACTGCCATCTCTTGCTGGGATCACTGTAGCATCTACTCTTGCTCCTCTTCCTCTTTTGAAAACGTTTCAGTTTCCAGCTTTCATAGAGGAAGGTCTAAACTCCCTAACGGGGCATGTGATGCTCCTCTAGAACGGGCCACTGCTTCCTCCGCAGCCTCACTTCTCATTCTGCCCTTCACTCTCCGCTCGTGTCACACTGACGCTGTGTCTGAGAGACCGCACAGATAATTGCTTGGCCTAGCCTGGAACGTGACACTACCCCTTGAATCCCCACCCATCCCTCTGCCTCACCAAAGCCTACTCAGCCTTTGGATATAACATCCTCCACGGAGGCTTCTACACCCCAAGGAGGGGAAAAGGGATGAAAAGAAAACAGTTTAATTCAGAAGACAGAGACTTGGGCAATCATCTCTATGAACACTAGATAATTAGACGTGTCCTCACGTTAAAATGGAGCTTGTATCTGACAACTAATCATTCATTCATGCATAAGTGTACCACTCAGTACAGTTTAAACAACTTTTATTTATTAAACAACTAAGTACCCTGCTGGTCACTTTTAAAACATTATCTTGTTTAATTTTTATAACAACCTGTTGAGTACTTTTGTCCCCAACTGGCAAAGGAGAAAATGGAAGTTCAAAGAGGGTAGGTAACAGCCCAGCATCTGTGGCTAGTCCTGAAGGCTGGGATCTGAAGCTGATTTCTCTGGAGCTGAGGCCTGTGCTTTTGTACATAAGCCCTGGGGCTGACCACTAAGTAAAGATGGGCATCTGTCCAGCTGGATGGCTTTTGCATGTTGCTCTCATGTGTTGATCTGTGTACCCCCCAACCGCCCCCCTACAAAAAATATGTCACAGTCCTAACCCCCAGAACTGCAGCATATGACCTTGTTTGGAAATAGTTATTGCAGATGTCATTAGTTAAAATGAAGTCACACTGGAGTAGGGTGGGCCCTACATCCAATGGCTGGTGTCATAAGAAGAGACAGACACCAGGAGGCCACATGACAGCAGAGGCAGAGACTAGAGTGCAGCAGCTACAAGCCAAGGAATGCCAAGGACCGCCGGCACCAGCAGATGCTGAGAGAAAGCAAGGAAGGGGTCTCCCCGACACGTCTCAGAGGGAGTGTGGTCCTGGGGACACCTTGCTTTTGGACTTGTAGCCTCCAGAAATTGTGAGGCAAGCCACCCACTTTGTGATAGTTTGTTATGCAACCCTAGGAAACTAATATAGTGGCTAAGTCTTTTTTTGTCTGCTGGGAAATACCTTTTAGTACAGGTACAAGTACTGCAGACAATCAGCTCGTCCAGTGTTGAACCCAGCTGGCAGCTCCCCCAGCATAAGACAGCCCAGCCCACACTGTCTCCTTCACAAGTCATTGCCCCCAACTTATTCTGGGACAAGATGAAGCCAAACCTGTAAACTTAAACAAAAGACAAAGATTCTGTATGATTTTGCATGAGAAAAAAAAATCCATCTTTTTTTCCAGTCTGATAGGGAAGAAATGTAACTTCCTTAGAGAGGCTCACTCAGATGGAAGGCAGCAGGGAGTGTTCCTCTGAGCCACATTGAGATCTATGCCAAAAGCACCCAAGCCACAGGTGGGGCCACATTCCCACCCTCTCCAGGTGGGGGCCCAAGCAGCGGTCTTCTTGGCCAGCTGCTGCTAAGCTAACCCCAGGAATGCACCCCACAGTAGGTGAGACTGTTCACTTGGGAGAGATTTATCCATGACCACCTGTCAGACATCACAAGCTGCCAGGGGAAAAAGTGCTGGCAGAGAAGTTGTGCTAACACGAGCTGGCTTTAGTCTGTGTTTTAAGAATTAGCCAAGTCCACTTCCAAAGGCTCATGCCAAGTCTCTCTTCTCAGAGAGAGAGAAATGCCAGCAGCAGTCCTTCGGCTCTCAGGAGCTAATATTCTGAAGTGTTCTATTTTCATAGTGCCCAGTGGCCAAGAATTAAAAAGGCCAGTAGATTTAAACACAACAGTGGGGCCTCTTTTGCCATGGAAGCATTCACACATTCATTCATTCATTCATGCAGCATTTGTTGGGCACCAAGCCCTAACCATTACCATGTGCCCAGAAGAAAGGTGCTACGCAAAAGTAGGGGCGGTGGTCAGGGTTACATATTGTTTTGACAGGCTGGATGGTGGCTTCAGGGTTTCCACTCTTCCATATCCAACTGTCCTGCCTCCTGCCCTCCAGTGCACAGCAACCAAAAGCCCACCTCAGGGCCTTATGTTTGCTAGTCACTGTCTGGAACATCTCCCGGATGTCTGTTGACATGGCCTGCTCCCTCACTTCATTCAGGGGTCTACTCTAATGTCACCACCTCACGAGACTTCCCTTATTACCTATCTAAAAAAGCACCCTCCCTCCCCTTAGACAATTGTTTATACTTGGTATCCCTTCCTGTCATCTCCATTGAAGGCAAGTACTTTTATTTGTTCTGTTCAGTGCTATCTCCCCAATGCCTAGAATAGTACCTGGTACTCAACAGCCAGTACTCAATAAATAATTGGCTGGACTAATGAATGAAATATAAACAAAACTGCTTAGGGTTTTAAAAATTTCAACCTGAAGAAAAGCCTGAATTATTTGGGTGGTATAGGAAGGTATAGGTGTGGGAGTGCCCCAAAGTGAGGCCATTCCATGTTGGTTCCAGAAACATTTGTGCACCTATTTGGAACACAGTACCAAGCACATGGAGGATAAAAAAACATGGAAGATGAAACTGCCACTTTTCCTCCAAGGAGCTCACAATTTAGTACAAGATCTAGGATAGGTCGGTATATACTTTCTTAGCCTCTTCACTCCATCTGCCCTGCTATAATGTGGTCTTTCTAAAACTGACTTGTGTCCCTTCAACAACTTACCACTGCCCTGAAGGTAAAGCCCAAACTTCTTGCTGTGGCTTACCTGGAACTTCTTAATCTTGTCTCAATGTATGTCATCATCTTCATTTCTTGCCCCTTCCCACTCTGGATATCATATTCCAGCCAAATTGAAATGCTGGCTGTTCCCCAAATATATTTTCTCTTGTTTGTGGGTTTCTGCTCATTCTGTTTCCTCTGCTCCTAACACTCTTCCTATCCCTCCCTTCACTTAACTTTGGCTGCACGAGGACACTCCACCCCAACTCTCTCGTCCTTCAGCAGGCCTTCACACGGTGGCTTCGGTGTTCTCAGCAGAGTGAAGGTGAGCCCCAGTGGACAAGTACTTTTCAAGTCTCTGCCTATGTCACACTTGGCAAGGCTAAGTTCAGATTGAAGGGGTGGAGAAATAAACTCCACTTCTGTATGGAAACAGTAGCACAGTCACAATGAAGAGAGGCAAGCACACGGACATGGGAAGAATTACTGTGGTTCTTTGCAGACAGTTTACCACACTTCCCATCCCTTTATTCATCTTCTGGTCTCAATCTAGAAGTCACAAACTCTGTGATGATTTTCTTGATCCCAAAACCTGAGTGAAAAATCTTTCCCATAATACCTTATACTTACTATTACTGCATGTATTACTCTCTGCTGATGAATGAATGAATGAATTTGTACAATAAATGTTGGACCTCCACTTTACACAGCTAAGTTGGCCATACTCTACATTTTACAGCAACATGTCAGTCCTCCCAAATGGGAAGGTCATGGAAGGAGGTGTGTTTAGGTTTCTGTTTTATTTTCATTGCCTACTACAGTACCTGATACAAAGTAGGTACTTAAAAATGTCTGTGAAATAAACCACCATATAACTGTAACTGAAAGATAAAATCGCCTTTAAAAAGGGCACAAGGAATGTTCTTGAGACCACGCTTTGAAAGACTCAGTAGGGGGCCGGCCCGGTGGCGCACTGGAGAGTGCGCCGCTTGGGAGCGCAGTGGCGCTCCCGCCGAGGGTTCAGATCCCATGTGGAGACCAGTTCCCGTTCACTGGCTGAGCGCGGTGCGGGCGCAACACCGAGGGTTGCGATCCCATTGCCGGTCCCCGGTACGGGTGCGACACCGAGGGTTGTGATCCCGTTACCGGTCAGTAAAAAAGAGACAAAAAGGGAAAAAAAAAAAAAAAAAAAAAGAAAGACTCAGTAGGCTGCAAATATTTAGGAAGATCTGAGACAGCACAAAACTAAGTGAAATAAGACTGACATGCCCCTTGGAGGAAAGAAAATAGGAAAAACATAGCCACAGAAAGCAACAATCTCCTTTTTATTAGATTCATGATGCCATTTTAAAATACAACCTCTTCTTTATAGAATTTTTCTTTGTTATTAACTTCCTCATTAGAAAATGGACAAATGGTCCTTGAAAGAAATGTCTTCTACTTGGTCCAGTGCTAGCTCCTCAGGCCTGCATCTGTATAGTTTACCAGTAGCAACAAAGTCTGGCATCTCAGAGAAAAGCATTGTAAAGGCTGGGACTCCCCTACTTCATATGTACATATATACATATGTGTGTGTAGACACACAACACACACATACACTATATATATATTTTTAACTTTTACAAAAATAATATAACACAGGTTTGCACAGCTCTATCATCAGTTCTTTAAAGTTACACAGGCAAAGTTTATGCTTCAGTATAACCATTTTTTACTTCGGATTGAAGTGGGAATTTTAGGCCTAAAAATAAGACTACCAAACAGAGGCCATGTAGCACCTCAGACTCAATACATCCTGATCATCACATAGCTAGAAATGTGGTGCTGTTATCCTTATGCCAGGTGCTACACATCCCCATGGATTATTTTCATTTTTACTAAAATATGAAAGCAAAATAGTCCATTAAAATAATCTTCTACTTATTGCATTAGCACATATACCAAATTATACTAACTGCATGATAATCTCTATGTACTAAGACTATGTTTTTAGCATGTGTGCCTCTCTATGTCATTAAATACATATCCAGCCAGCAACCACAACAAAGACAGTCATACCGTACAGCAAGAGAAGGGAGAGCAACAGTTTTGCAGGCTGGTAACTTACACGTCCACCAAAAAGAAATCAGAGAGAGAAAACAAATCTTACCAGATAATATATAAAACTACTTTGCAGTGACATTTAATATGTGGTTTTATCAGAAAGAATACATGTAGGTTATAGTTACACGGAAAAACAGAAACTATGTGACATTCTAGGTTTTCTCCTAGAATATTCAAAATTCTCACCAAAAGTCAATTAGTATAATAAAGATGACCACCAGGTGGCTGAATAAACAGAATGTCATTTAGTATTTTAAAAACCCAGATTCTGGGACTAGAAGCTACCACCCAAATATTCAGAAATCTGAGTTAACAGGTACTCTATTTTGCATACTTGATACTAATAAACATAACCATTAAGTGTCTACACAGACTGTGAATGCAAGGCAATAATAGCCTAGAGGATAGTCAGAAAGAGAATAAAATGAACTCTATCCCGTCAGAGTGAGTACAGATAACTCCTGCTGTTTTTTTGGTTTTCCCCTCATACACGAAGCATCTCTCTTCAGGGCAGAAATCTCCTAGCTCAAGCCCATTCCCTCTGCCCCAACCAGGATACAACAGAGCTCAAGCTTGGTGCTGGAAAGTCTTTCAGATGCTGGTATGATTCCTGATCACCTAACTGCCAGGGCCCTCCTGACCTCTCAGGTTCTCCCTGCCACACCCTCCCTTCCTGCAGGAGGAGGCAGCACTGTCTCTGGAGTCACCAATAACGCTAGAATTAGAAGAAGGAGGTATCTGATGAAAAGGCACCTGCAAGTCTAAAATCCTCTTTGGTGAGAACACTATACATCCGCTGAGGCAGAGCTTTGGAGTAGGGAGCAGGGCGTGGCACAGAGGTGCGCAAGATGAGCTCCCGGCCGGCAGGGGGTGGGAAGTCAGACAGCGAGTTCTGCCTTCTTTCTTCTGGGGAGCCCATTCTCTTCACTTCCTCTTCTGGTGGAGCCATGGCTGCAGCCTTGAACAGAATTAAATGCTAAATTCAAAGGCAAGTCAAATGCTACACTCAGATACTTTTGAAGGACAGATGAATAAACATAAATAGATAAAAATATCCTCCATTACTCAGTAATGCAGTCAGCAATATGTCATGATTACTCAAAAAAAAAAAAAAAAAAAACACACACACAGGAAATGCAAGAAGCTTGAAATGCTGTATGAGCAGCTAGGTTGGTGACAGAGACAGAAGGGATAATAACTGCCAAGCAATCTGCTTTGGAAAGTGAGGGCCATACTCAGACATCTGATGAAAAGGGATCATGAAGCTGTTCTGGTTTCTATGTTTCTTGTAGCAATGACCCAAGTCCACAGCTGATGTCCTCAGTCCAGTAAGGAGCTGTTTCTCTCCAGAGTCTAGAAAGATGATTTTCATCTTGACTCTTTCAATCAATTCTTTTTAAGGTTCACTTGCCACATTAAAACTGGGGGCATGGTTTTGTTTGCTAGGCAGCTAATGTGATGCAGAAGTGATACAGGTCCTTATAGCAATGGCCACAAAGAGGTTCTCAATACTAAAGACATCTTTTTTTAATTAAAGTTGCATAAAATACACATTCAATTAGAGCCTTTATTTTTAACTCTGATCACTATATTTCTTTCACAATGCCATTGATTTGGGAAAAAATAATTAGTTTGGCAATGGAAACATGAAATCATATTAAGCTAAACATCAGCAAGAAAGGTATGCCAAATCCAGACTGTTAAAGAGGTGGTTAGTTTTAATGACCTTATGAAGTTAGAGGGATGGGAAGGAACAAGGAACTATGAGGGACAAAGGCTATTTTGTTACCTCATCAGAAGATTCAGTCAGCTTGAGAAAGGGTGAGAAAAGAAACAGTGATGAAAGGGAAACAAGCAAGATGGTTTAAAAAGGGCTAGACAAGAAATTTCAAGATTATTTCAGGGACAGCATGCACTACATTCAGGAACATGATCCTATCAAAAGAATATTCAAAATGAACAAAGAAAGCCACACCACATATAACACACCTAGCTGTCAAATACAGCAGACATATCCCACTACTCATGCATCTACTGGTTCAATGGTGACATACAGAGTGTCATTTAAAAGGGAAATGATTTCAACAAAAACTAGCTCTTTTACTATAGTAATAAGATGCTAAAAAAAGTACTCAGGGCTTGAAAAATAGATAATCCAGTGCATTTAAGAATAGGTGTCTAAGAGTTATTCAATTTAGCAAGATAGAAGCAAAATTCAATCAGTTGTTGATTTCCATCTAAATATGTACATACCACAGATGCATATAATCATGATCAAATTTATTACAATTTATAATTTTAAGAAAAACTTCTAAATATATAAAAATTATATGCTATAAAAATTCTTTGTGAAGTCTCATCACAACTTTTAAAAATAAATGTTAAAATCTTGACTTATTAGTGAAACTGATATAAAGTGTCAGTAAATAATGAAAAATTACATGAATAAACTTTGTTTGCTTTAGCCAGACATTTAAGAGCTCAGTTTTAAAATGTACCAACCAGATGCTTGTTATATGGATTACACAGTCTACCAGATCCCTAAAAACATTAATTACAAGGTCTGAAAGTTTAAAATCTTTTTAAAATGTGGGATGAACGTATAATTTCAATATCTCTTAAAGGGGATTAGCTATACAATGAGGCTGCTGAAAAGACATACTCCCAAATTTAGTGATTTTGAAAGCTATCTAAAGTATATTAGGTGGAAACAAGAATAACAAATTATATAATACTATTTTTATTAAATGTGCATTATTTTTATATACCAGATGTTAAATGTTGGCAGTGATCATCAGTGGGTAGTGAAATTATATAATTAATTTTTTCTTTATAATTTTCTTTGTTGTCAATATCTCTATAATGAGCCTCTATTAGGCTCATTATTTTAAGGTTGGGAAAGGGAATGGGAAGGTTATTTCCATTTTGAGGAAAATAATTTTGCTTACCTACCCAAAACAAGTAACACTCTCAGCACTAAAAGTATACTTTAGATTTTAAATCCTCTTAACAAACAATTTATAAAAAGTGACCAAAGAGGAAAGAGTTTTCACAATAAGAGGAAAATTCACATTGGTGGTTAACAAGGAAATGTGCCTGTAGGCCTCTGGGTAGTAAGCTGGAGCAGATAGTATGGGATGTAAAAACAAACTTGGCTCCTGATTTCATGCTAGACACAAAACAAAACAACTCAGAGCAAGCATCTATTGTTTTCTAGATGTCTAATTTATAAGGAAATAAAACATTTGGTTTTAACTTGAAATTCTTAAGTTTAGGGAGCTACCCCACCCCATAAATAATTTGTCTTGTTAATTTTTAGCTCTTATTAAAAATTCAGATCAGCATACAGTATTCGACTATGAATTTGAATATATTAACTAGTTCTACTTCAGACCAACTCAACAGGGATTATGGAGTTGTTATTCTATGTGTAGACCCACAAAAATTTTTTTTTCTTATTTGATTCTGAGAATTACACTCTAAAAAGTGGGTCGCTCTAGTGTCATCACAGTGCCAGGTAACGGGAACACTGTATTTAATGCACAGTTAATACTTTTATCAGACTCCCTTAATAAGTCCTGAAATGAGAATCATCAGCAGGATGCCAGCACCTCTTAATCGGTAACCAAGATACTATATAATTTTAAAACCTTTACTTTCACTAGAACAGGTAATGATAGAAATCATTTTTCAAATTGGTCTTTCTTTCTGTGCTAATGCCTAAGTTTCCATAGCCTTAAAACTCTGCAATCTTCCTCTTCCTTTCTAGGAAACCTTTAAGTCAGATCTCTTCACCATTATAATAGTTAGATTCACAATTCAAGGTGAACTGTGAATCCATTTTGTAGTACCTGAAGTTTAAAGATAGTAAAACTGAAAATCTAGTCTTTTTTAAAAATTTTTTTTATTTTAACTTACCAATATACAATGTAGTTGTTTTTTGTGTCCTTTTCCTGGTTCTATTTCCCCCCTTTCCCCTCCCCCCATCTTTGAAATCTATTCTAATTTGAAAGTACTAAACATTTTTTTCCACAGCACGCACAGCACTAGCCATTGCTAACTGAGTCCCTGCCAGCTTCTGTCACAATTGATTTCAGCCCCTTCTAAATTCTGAAATTTGGGTTCTAAAAATATATTTATCATTTTACTAAAATATGTAGGAAAGCAAATGGGTTTCAAAGACTCGGAAGTCACAGAGTCACTGTTTCTTCAATATTCAAACCCAATGCCCAGACTCAGACACAGATAGCAGCTATATAATCAGCCACATATGAATCAAAAGAACATCTTCCCAAATAGAGGTCTGGAAAGCTCATGATAGAGACAATAATGAATGCCACATACCCTCTGGGCATTCACAAACAACTTGTGAATGATCCTGCCAGCATGTCCTCTTCCTGCCCCAGTGACTAATACTTCAGGCTGTTCCAGCAGACAACTCACAAACCTAGGAGAGATAAGCAATGAAAGGATAGAAAGCTGCTCAAGCCACTGTGTATCCATCCTCCCAGGTGAATTTTGTTGGCAAATCCTCAAACTGATACCAGCTAACCTTACCAAGGCTGGAGTGGACAATTTATAATAGGATAGACTGACATTTGGAATTAAAATAGATTCAACTGACAATCTCGCTGTTTTTTCAACTGATTTCATAAAATTTTTTAAAACCCTATCTCTGTAAGAAGAAATATTCAGTCTACTTTTTTGCAGACTAGAAGCTTAGGAAGTGCAACAGTAAAATAGATGATCAAAAAAATTTTTTGACAATAGAAAGTTTTATTTATCCAATAAAGCAATGGTCCATATATATTTTTTTAAGGGCAGTGTATGTATATGCTTAAAATATATATTGTGCTGGGCAAAGTCACAATTGTAAACTGTGCCATTATGTGCTGGAATCAGTGTACTTGCAAGTATACCCCAGATAACATACAGTGAAACCAACAGAGTCGAAGGCACAGAGCCACCAGGCCTGCACCACCTGCTTACTAATTCATACTCCTATTTTAGAAATGATTCTCTTGATTACAGCTTATTCTTCTCATTTAAAAGGAAGAAATTTTCAAGAGCAAAGTAAGCTGGGAGAAAATTTCACTCAAAAAAGGACACAAAAAATTCAAACAAGAACTTGTTAAAAGCTATAGCAAATGCCTTGTCATATATTATTTAGCATCAATAATGCTATTTCATATGGAAAGGCTAATGAAAATCTTAAAATTATGACAAATTCAAGTCATCGAACAAGCTAATTTAGCAACACTTTATCACAGATTAAAACAACACTGTCTTCTCAAATAACAAGGGCAAAAAATGGACAGGGACTCACACTAACATAAGCTTCATTAGCAATGGTGTTGAGTCTCATAAAGAGGAAAAGACTGCCCCAATTGTTTGCCTCACTGGGGAAAAGCCATCTGGTCACTCAATACGTACTTGCAAGGTACTTAGGATTTGTATCTTTGCTATCACATATCTTGTTTAAAATAAAATAAATGACTAGGAATAGTGGTTAGAAATATAGTTTCAGAATATCCCACACTGGTCAAGAACAGTGAGAGTTGAAAGCCATGTTTTGAGACATTGTGAGTAACAGAGTTAACAGCTCCTCCACAGGAAATTTCAGGCACCACATCTCCAAGAGCAAACAAAGGAATCCCCAGAAAAAGAGACTGTTTCTAAAAGTGGCCTGAACGGAAACACCTGGCAGAGACTCAGACATACAGCAGAGATCAAATCCTATGATAATTAAATATTTCTCTGTCTTTAGTCAATGCTTGCTTCAAATAATATATGAGTATCACAAAAGAGTCTCAATAGCTTTTCCTACTGCAGACAAAACTGAACTAACCAAACAGCAATTACCTTTCAAGATCTTCCTTTTCCTCCTCCTGTTCACATTTCTCAGTTCCAAACTTGGCTTTCAGTGACCGGGCTCTAGCAATTGTAGCTTCCACGTTAATAATTTGATGGATGATTTCCTAATAGCGAGAAAGGGAGAGATATATGTTGGAAGAGAGCAAAATAGCAAAGTCTTTTAAAAATGTATCTTTAACATAATTATTGCCAAGCCAGGAGAACACTTGGCAAGATTCTGACACTACATCAAACTTACTTCCAATTTCTTGTCTTCTGGATTGGGGAAGTGCAAAACTTTACTGGAATGGGATATAATCTGCTTTATAATCTTCTTAACTGAAGAAATGTTTTCCAGACTTTCTATTTTTTAAAAAATGAAAGCCATCATTGAATAAATTAAGCAAAATATACTTTCATTTTGGAAATGAACTAATGACTAGTCTTTTACCTTCTTCCTTTATCTTGAGTACAGCTGCATGAATCACACAAGGCAAAAGATGCCGAGCCAGGTCTGCAGGTTTCTGGATTGCCAGGTAATGCAGCACCTGAAGGAGGCATAATGTTATCAATGCAGGTGTCAAAGAATGAAGCAGCTATTTACAAAAGTAACAAATCCTCAACCACTCAACTCACATCTGAGACAAGAGCACAGAGAAGAGCTCTCTTCTCTAGTACCTACCCCTACTTACCCAGGTAAGTAGCTACTACTCCCAAAGGTAAGAACAATGTTACTGAAAGCACCTAAGAACTTCAATCTTTAATAATAATAATTTTTTCTGCTTCCATACATAATATATGCAAATTCGGAAAATACAAAGAAAACAAAAACCTGAAAATTAAAACTCTGTAAATTAAACTACCTAGAGATAACAATTAGCATTGGAGCATTTTCATTCCAGAATTTTTTATAACACAGAATGCACATAATACAAAGGTACTATACAGAGAAGTATAATGCAAAAATTCTCCTGAAATCCTACTTTCCAAGGAACAACACATATTTTTGTATATCTTCTAGACAGCTATAGAAGCATATGCAATTTCTTAACATAAATTAATTTACATTCTGTTTAATAACTTGCTTTATTTGTTTAATGACTTATGGTAGATTTCTGTTTTTTGGCTTGGAGAGTTTTGTATGACTTGAAACTTTTTTTAAATTAAGAAATATACATACCAGAGTATTTATAAATACTTTAAAGAAAACATGAACACCTGTTTGCCCACCAATCGGCTTAAAAGAGAAAACATTACCAGTACTTTCCAAGTCTCCCTTCCCTCCCCGCCCCTTTTCTTTATAGTTTTCTCACATACCAGGGTACTACAAAAAGTTCATGGAAAGATTCTATTATCTTTTAACTAAATTTTTCCATGAACTTTTTGAATTACCCCCATACATACCCTTAAACAATGCATTGTCTGGTTTTAACCTTTATATAAATGGAATGTTTCTGTTTCATACCCTTCAGTGACTAGCTTCTTTTCATTCAGCACTGTTTTTGAGATTCACATATGCTGATACATGCTATAGTTATTCAATTTCACTGCTGTATTAAAATGTTTTCCACTGATGGTGGACACCACACGCCCCTCCACTTTTTGGCTATTACAAATAATGCTCATATTACATTTGTATGATTCTGCTTTCTGTTGCTTATAACAGAATACCTGAGACTGGGTAATTTATAAAGAAACAAAATTTATTTCTTATATTTTGGAGTCAGGGAAGTCCACAGGCCAGGGGTTGCATCTGGTGAGGGCCTTCTCCTGGGTGGAAACTCTACAGGATCCCGTGGTGACGCAGGCAATCACATGGCAAAGATGGCAAAAGTTTTTTAACGTGTTCACTTGCTCTCCTTATAAAGCCACAAGTTTCACTCCCGTGACAACCACTAAACCATTAACGCATTATTCCACAAATGGATTAATCCATTCATGACAGCATAGTTGTCAAGATCCAATCACCTCTTAAAGGTACCACCTTTCAACACTGCCGTAGTCTAATTTCCCAGCCACTTAACATGGCTATAATGGGGATCAAGGTTCAGTGTGTTTTTTGGGGAAATCCAATCCATAGCAACCTTACTGCATATGTTTCCTGGTGAACACACAGAGGAATATCTTTAGGATGCATTGCTAAAAAAGAACTAGCAGGGGCCGGCCCGGTGGCGCACTGGATAAGTGCGCCGCTTGGAAAGCGCAGCGGAGCTCCCGCCCGAGGGTTTGGATCCCACATACAGACCGGTTCCCGGAGGCGCGGGGGCAACACCGAGGGTTGCAATCCCGTTGCCGGTCCCCGGTCCGGTACGGGGGCAACACTGAGGGTTGCGATCCGTTGCCGGACACGGAAAAAGACAAAAGACAAAAAAAAAAAAAACTAGACAGTAAATAGTTTAGGTTTTTTGTGAGCCAAGAAACAAAACTGAAGATATTATATATACGTACTTATATAACAAGAGAGAAAAATATTTCCACAATTTTTTGTACACTTAAAAAACATATTTATATTATGTTATATTCTGGATTTAACCCATAGACCATAGTTTG